CCAATCCATGAACACGGCATGTTCTCCCATCTGTTTATGTCCTCCTCTATCTCTTTTTTCAGTGTTCTGTAGTTTTCTGAGTACAGGACTTTTACCTCCTTAGTTGAGTTTATTCCTACGTATCTTAATTGTTTTTGGTTTGATAGTAAATGGGATTGTTTTTTAAATCTCTCTTTCTGTAAGTTCATCATTGGTGTATAAAAATGCCATAGATTTCTTAGCATTAATTTTGTATCCTGCTATGTTGCTGAATTCATTGATTAAGTCTAATGATTTTTTGATGGAGTCTTTAGGGGTTTTTTTATGTACAGTATCATGTCATCTGCGAATAATGACAGTTTTACATCTTCTTTTCCAATTTTGATACCTTTTATTTCTTCTTCTTGTCTAATTGCTATGGCTGGCACTTCCAGTACTATGTTGAACAGGAATGGTGAGAGTGGGCACCCCCGTCTCGTTCCTGTTCTTAGGTGAAATGGTTTTAGTTTTAACAGGCTAATTTTTAAGTTGATAAATTTCTATGGTCTTCGAATGATGTTATAAAGATCCAAATGGCCCTTGGCAGAATAAAGGTTCCCACCCCTGCCTTAGAAGGACACTAATCCCATCATGTGTCTCTTCAAGACCTCCTCTAACCCTGAGTCCCTCCCAAAGCCCCCATCTCCAAATACACATGCATCTGGGAGAACACAAACATTCAGTCCCTACAGGCTGGCCCCAGAAATGAGGCCAATCCTCCCCCACCTTTGCCAGTCCAAGGGAAGAATTTAGTTTGGTTTGTACATATTTATTTTTTAGCTACAAACTACTCAATATTTTCTACCCCAACACAAAAGAAGCCCAGCCTTCCATGTCTTGTGGAGTGGCAAGGGCATCCAGAGACCTCTGTTTCTGATTCAGCTCTGCTGCCTCATACTTGACCTTGGGGTTCTTGTACTCTGCCTGCCTCAGTTTTCCCTTCTGCAGGGATCTGGACAGGACAAGGGGATGGCTCATGGCCCTTCAGCGTCTGATGCACCTTGTGTCTTTCCTGGTTCTTTCTGGAGAGATGTATGGGATTTCTGGGTGCTCCCCATCCACAGAGTGATGTCACTGTCCAATCCAGCCAGGAGACTCCCACATTCAGAGGGCACCTGTGTGGAGGTTAGGTCTCACCTGGAGCAGGAACAGAAGGCCATGCACACTGGTATGCACTGAGGCAGCCACTCCCGTTCCCTGTCTGCTGGCATAGCCCCCCTTTCCACTAAGCTGCACCAAGTAATAAAAGAGGCCCGTCCACCCTCCTGTCAGGGAGCTCCACGTGCGCTGCCTCTAATGAAGGATTTATTTAGGTCAAGGCTGCCTGCTGTGCACAGCAGTGCAGATTAAACACATTGAGGAGAGGTAGCTGCTCCTCCTTTTCCCTCACAGACTCACAGACCTGGCTGCCCATCATTCCTGAGGGGGCGGGGCAGTCACAGAGGACCCAGTGACTGTGCACCCCTTAGAAACAGAGAGCCTGCACCTGTCCAAGCGATGCTGTCCTTGCTTCCTGGAGCCTCCGTCTGGTTGAGTCACTGCAGTGCTGTGGATCGTGAACAAATGAGTTTGACTAATTATCATGCCTGGATCCCATTTATACCACACAGCTTTCTTTTTTAGGGACAAAAATAGCTCCCAGGACTTGAGGGCTTGCCATGGGCCAGGCGATATGCTAATGTCCTCAGCATCCACACAGCATGTTGTACTGAACCCTTGCAGTTGGAATGTGGGGCCAGTGCATTTGACCTAAGGCTGTGAGCTTCAGAGCTGCCTGCAGAATTTTCAGCAGTAGAGTTGAGATTTGAGCCAGGGTTGGGCTCCAAATCCTCTGTGAAATCCAGCATCTCCCCTCCGCCCAGTTCTGGGGATAACATCACCTCTGAAGACAGACCGATCCCTCTATTTTGTCTTCTGCAGTTGTTTTCATCCTGCAGTTAAAAACAAACAACAGTAAGAACAAAAAACAAAAGAAAATTAGCCACCCTGCTCAAGGCCAAGGTGATTAGAATCCAAATCCAGATGGGCCCAGAGGTTCCAAGCTCACAGCTGGGCCAAGAGATTGCAAGCTCAAAGCGGGGCCCAGAAGTTCCAGACTCACAGCTGGGCCAAGGGGTTGCAAGATCATGGGCCCCTCACCATCCAAGGGCCCAGATGGGCAGCCAAATTCCCTGGGAGCTTGTTAGGAGCACAGACACCCAGGCCTCTCCAAACTCTCAGATCTGAATCTGCATGTGGAAGTAGATCTCCAGGGGATTGGAGTGTGCCTCGGAGTTTGGAAAGCATTGGGCTGAGCTCCTGGGAGGGAAGCTTCAGAAGAAGACTGGGTGGGTTGACCTCAAACTCCCCGTGGGACAGGCCAAATTGCTCATCCCAGTGCATCCTTGAGTTCTTAGAGGCTCAGAAACAACATTGCCAATTATTTCTGGTGGTCGCCAATCCCTGCACCTGTCCCCACACCACGCTGTCCTTCCTGGCTTGCCTGAGTACCTCCTTCCTTCAGTCCCAGGGAGTCATGCTCAATATCCAGTCACCCTTTTGAAATCGGGAGGAAGCCCCTTGCATTGTGCGGATGCAGGGGAGCATGGGAAGGCTGGAGGAGGAGCATTCCTAGGGTCCACCCCGTTTCCAAGAGGAAAATGGGCCAAGACCCTTCTTTGTCCAAGATGGTAAATGTGGCCTGGGGAAACTTACGAACATTCCTGGGACTGACCTTGGGTCCTTTTCACCCATCTTACTGCAACAATCACCATCAGTAAATCCAAACAAAAACGAATGTCAGCATTTGTTGACAAGTGGCATGTGTAGGCAATTTCTAGAAAATAAATATTTATGCGAGCCTTGAGATACCACTCTCCTTTCCCAGACTGACAGGCACAAGCTAAACCTGTTTCCTCTTTCTCGGTTTCCAAGAGGACCCGCCAGGAGGAACATTTGACACCCCTGCCAAGCATTCATCAGTAGTTGTGCAAGGACAAAAGTGAAGACGTGTGTGACTCTGAAAGTGAACAAATGATCTTATCCTGTTGATTGCTCTGAAGTCAGTTGGATAGGGGAATGACAGCTCCTTTGTTCGAACTGTCTTTAACCAGGTTTCAGTGCAGTCCAGAAAATGAGATCACTCAGCACCCGCGAAGCTGGAGAGAGGCAGTCCTGCATTGCAGTAGGAAGGCTCCGGGCCTCTCTGCGAGCTCAGCCTATTGCTAGCTGCATCTGTCTGGAATGCACTCCCCCTGCCCACAGAGGCATCACCTGTCACAGGTGGGGTGCAGCGGGGTTTAGAGATGGCCTGCAGAATTTTACTTTTCATACTTCCTGGATCTGTGACCTTGAGAAGGTCATTCAACATGAATGGCATGTTTTCCTATTTGTCATGGGGAGAAAGGCACTGTGATATATTTATTCAATGTGGAGAGTCTTGTTTAATTATGATAGCATCCATGGGAAGTAGTTATCCAACCGTGGGCAAACTACGGCCCACGGGCCGGATCCGGCCCGTTTGAAATGAATAAAACTATTGGAAAAAAAAAAGACCGTACCCTTTTATGTAATGATGTTTACTTTGAATTTATATTAGTTCACACAAACACTCCATCCATGCTTTTGTTCTGGCTCTCCGGTCCAGTTTAAGAACCCATTGTGGCCCTCGAGTCAAAAAGTTTGCCCACCCCTATATTAGCCCATTGTGCAGAATTGCACATTGAACCCCGACAGCTAAGAAGCTTCTTATTGGAGGTCAGGCAGCTATAAGAATTCTACCCTGGATCTGTCCAATTGCAAACACTTCTTTGTTTTTCCATATCTGCATGCTATCTTCTTGTTACTTAAAAAATGTAAAATAAGCCCCAGCAGGTTTGGCTCAGTGGATAGAGTGTCAACCTGCAAACTGAAGGGTTGCAGGTTTGATTCTGGTCAAGGGCACATGCCGGGTTGTGGGCTCGATCATTAGTGGGGGGCATGCAGGAGGCAGCTGATCAATGATTCTCTCTCATCATTGATGTTTCTATCTCTCTTCCTCTCCCTTTCTCTCTGAAATCAATAAAAATATATACTTTTAAAAATGTAAAATAAAATGAGAAGAACCACCTCTTGGTATTGTTGTGAGTATTCGAAGGGTCATGTATACATGAGTGCTTACTGTCTGGCACAATGGGCACTCAGTAAGTAATCTTTTCCTTTTCGACCCTTTTGTTAAATCCCTTAAAGGATGTGTGGTTGAATGCTTTGCTCATCCCTGTTCTCTGGGGGAGACTCTTGCCTGTGACAGCTGTGTCTCTCTCGTGTACAGGGGCCGGGGAGGTGTCCCTCAGAGGGATCACCGACACGACTGTTCCCAATGCACTGAATGTCCCTCCTGTGAAATGTTCTTGGTATTTCATTCTATCATGAATCTTTGGGGGGTGGGACTTGGAGAATATATTGTAGTTAATTACATTTGAAATCTAGGTCATGATGTGGATCATGGAATAAGAAGACTTAAGGACAAAATTAAAATATTTTTGAAGGGTTATTTCACTGCTTCCTTTCCTTGTTTAATTAAAATATTTTCTAGACTCTCAGGTGACCCTGTCCAGCTCCCATTAGAAATGCTGTGCCTGCCTTTCAACATCTGGTTTCTGTTTGACTCTTCAGGGGCTGGAAAACTCACTTTTGATGCAGTCATTTTTATAGACAAACTATTGGGTTTTCCTTACACTGAGTTAAAGGTCTTTCTCAGGACCTGTGGACATGTGCCTTGTTTTCCATTACATTTGACATGTCTATTCAGCATTTAGGATCTCCAGCACCCACTGCATCCCGGGAATCACCCAGGCCCTGGAAGGGTACAGCAGTGGGGGCTGGACTCTGACCAGGAGCCGGCACTGAATTGCATTGTTTTTAGTGTGGCTCCTGGAAAATTTTAAAGTGCACTTGTGGGTCATTTCCGCATTTATAATAAAAGTAAAAACAATACATGATTTGACACAGGGCAGGATTTGACTAAGTACCAGAGACACATAAATGAATAGTGGTTACCGGCACCTCCGGGAAGGGTTACTCTCACCTTCATGAGCACCTCTTGACTGCCAGTGAAGATTTGAGTTTTTCTGAGAATGAACTAAAACTGTGGTATACTTTCATCTATACAATTCACATGCCGTGTGCCTCCTATGGGGGAGGCTGTGGTTGGCATTACGGAAGGGAGAAGGCATTGGTAAAAATGGGCACCCATATCAATACGTAGGTAAAATGTTAGATATGTACTAGTAGCGTAATTTCAGTCAGTTTTTGTTTGATAAGAGAAAAAAGTGCATATGTGGCTCACATTGGATTTCTTTGGACGGTGCTTATTGATCCACAACATCTCACTGATACACAGTCCAAAGGGAGCCATTGGAGATGGGTGGGATTATTACTATTCTATGGATGAGGAGACTGAGACAAGAGAGGTTAAGTCACTTGGATGCAGGTCAAACCTAGAGAAGAACTCCTGACCCCATCACCTGTGTAAGTCCTGTGACTCTTCTACTGAATAGATCTAGGGAATGAGTTTCACCCTTGTGTATCAACTGATGCTGGAGTAGGTGGCCAGGGAATTGTCACTGCTGGGTAGGTTTTGGGGGGGTCTTTTGGTTTAGGACCCCAAAACCATTGCCATTAGTGAATGTTGAGACCCCACACTTGGGAGGCAGCAGAAATAACAGATAGAACACAGAACTGGAACTCAGGAGCCACAAGTTCAAGCCTGGATTCTCCATGTGACCTTGGCCAAGTCATCTCGGGGCCTCCTCACCCACAAAATGAAAGGCAGTGGCTCAATGGCTCTCTTTTGCCTTGATGTTCAGAATCCCACTGTCAGGATCCATTCGGCTCAGATGTTCTGGCTTATAGGCTCACCTGAGCGTGGGGATCTTTGCTTTTCTAAGAGTGTTACTAAGAGGCCCAGAAATTATGTCTATGCCACTGAACAATTATCAGACTACTACAGAAAGACTACTACAGAAAGACTGTGGCTCTTAATGGCCACTGTGTTTTTGATATATTTTATATATATAAATTTACATATATACATATGTGTGTGCATATATATACACATGATATATGTGTATACATATTAATTGGCTAAAGTTTCATACATGCACATGCTATACACATAGCTCTCTCTACATGTAGCCCATACTAGTACATATATGTGCTTTTCTGTTTCCCTCTCTGTCTCTCTCCATGTGTATGAGACTTTAGCTAAACTTTTACTTTCCATATAGGTTGAATATTAAATATTTTTGGAATGTAGAAGAAAGGCTTACAATAAGAAACTACATTTTTAGAAAGTTTGAAGTAGAAACGAGGAGCTTGTAAACTACTAACTTCCCAGTTTATTTATTTTTTATTTTTCATTTCTGTTTTGAAAGGGCAAACTACATTTCATTTCTTCTCCCTGGGACTGCTGGTAATTCCCCCCAGAAGAAAGATCTCTGATGTGCATGGTGCTAACCAGGATACCTCCTAACAGGGTGGGAAGGATAGTCAGACAATATGACTTGCAGATCTGGTCTCCAACTCTGTCACTCAGGCGTAGCAGGGTTGGGGAGGGTTGGGGCCTAGAGTCGGGCACAAATTCATACAAGCACACTACATGTGCGCACACACATAAAAACATGTACAAGGCAGGCACAGCTGGCCTGTTCTGTTGATCCACATGAGCAGTTGAGAAGGAAATGGAATTTGCCTAAAACACACTGAAATGTTCAATTGATTAAAGCAAATGGCCCATTAAATTGAGCTTATCCAATCAGTAGAACCAACCTTGAACCACATCTTGTTGGGCCAGTCATCCTTAAACATTTCCTTTCCTTTTCCCAAACAGTTATGCCACCCAATCTTGCAAGTCTCTTCTCCAGCATTCTGCGATTCTCTAGAGGTTTCCAGCTATTTCATTGCTTGTTCTTTCATATACATTTTCCCCAGAGAGTTGATATCTGAGGGAAATAGATCAACTAGTTTGATCATTAAAATGGGAGCCCTGGGTGTGGTTCTCTGTTTACACATTCTGGACAAGAGTTAAACTAAGTGAATGTTAAACCTGGTCTAAAGATGATGGGTCCTCTTAATGGAGAACACTTTTACTGGTTCTGGAAATCCCAGTCCCCAATCCCAGTCTGTCTCTAAGCCATCCATCCCTAACTGTGTGTAGACAGGAATTACTTAAAGGATAGCTTGCTGCTTCCTCTTTTAGATTGTTGTTTATCAGAACCCAGAAAACATGAACCATGACTCGTCTGCCTTTGGGAACCCTATACCATCTGTCCATCTGACCCAGCAGTGCCCTGTGTGCTTGAGGGACTTTGAGGCCTAACTGTGATAAATCCCAGATGGGAAGAGAAGGTGTAAAGGAGGGAATTTGTGGAAAGAGAGCCCTGAGGTTAGAGTTTTTAATTTGGGCTCTGAATTTTGATATGGACTGAATGTTAGTGTCCTTGGGCAAGACTCTCATCTCTAACTGTCCTGCCTTCCTACCTTACACTGTAGGGTGTGGTGACAAGTCACCTGAGCAGACTGCAGGGCCACTTTATAAACAGTAAGTCTTTGCACACAGGAAGGCTTTTTGCTCTTTCTAGTAACCTCATCTGTTTATCCCTCTAGCCCCACGTCAAACATTTCCTCTGCTGTGAAGCCCTCCCCAACTGTTTCAGTCCAAATGAATGACCAAATACCCTCATGGGACCCTGCCTAGAATGTAATCATAACATATATCGTGTCGATGCCTGCAGTCAGGTTGCATCTGTTAACCTTTCCCATATGAGCGTTGCTGTACAAGCCATCCCAAAACTCAATGGCTGAAAAGCACCAGACTGTATTCTCTCACTCATGAGCTGGGGTGGCTCTGCTGCACCTGTCTCCCCTCTTCCTCCTGGAGGCAGGGGCTGCCAGGGCCCATTCTTCTCATGGCGAGAGGGCAAGTGGAGACACACGTGGCCTTTCACTGCCTGGGCTGGGGACTGACCACAGGCCATTGGCCAAACCAAACCAAACTGTGAGGAAGTCCCCTGACAATGAGGCCACAGCAAGAACTGGTTGGAGGGTGGGGTGAAGTGGGGTGAAGAATTGGAACTAAGTGATCAATCTTTTGACCGGTTCACCTGCCCTATTAGATCAGGAGCCCCACGGTGTAAGGCACTCCCCACGGGGTGGGCGGGGAGCAGGAACAATGTCTGCTCCTATATCACCTACCCCTAGGCCTGAGGCTAGGTGTTTGTTGAAGTCCGAAAGGCCTTTCCAACCCTTTCCTTTACAGCAAAGTTTGGCAAATTAGGGCAGCAGAGCCAAATCTCTCTCTCCTGTCTCTTGCAAAAATAGAACTAAGCATATACATTGTTGGAAAACAAAATAAAAATAATATTTAAAGTTGTATTAGGACATCCATGGGTGCTTTAGAGCAAAACAGCATACTTGGAGTTGCCATGGAGATTGAATGACCCTAAGCCTAAACCATCTTAACCTGGTCCTGCACAGAAATGTTGCCGCCCCTGCTTTACAGGTCAGGAACCTGAGAGAGCCCCAGGGAGGTGGACTACTCCAGGAAGCCTGTGGATTTGGCGTTAATATTTTCCTTGCTTTGTTTCCTAGTAATTGGCTGCCTGCTACGCCCATGTGTCACTGACCAGGAGGCATTTCCTGCGGTGGCGCTTCATGACCCAGCGACGTCGGGCCTAGCGAAGCCCCCGTGGTGTCCAGCATGGCCACGCTGCTCCTGGGCGCGGCGCTGCTGGTGGCACAGCTTCAGCTAGTGCCTTCCCGCCCCGGCGCGCCCTGGGCGGAACCTGGACCACAGGAGCTGGTGTGGAAAGCAGCCACCTCCCAGGACCAGGCCCTGGACGGCGCGGCACCCAATGGCTCTGCCAGGCAGCTCCCGCAGACCATCATCATCGGCGTGCGCAAGGGCGGCACCCGCGCGCTGCTGGAGATGCTCAGCCTGCACCCCGACGTGGCGGCCGCGGAGAACGAGGTGCACTTCTTCGACTGGGAGGAGCACTACAGCCAAGGCCTGGGCTGGTACCTCAGCCAGATGCCCCTCTCCGCCCCCCACCAGCTCACCGTGGAAAAGACCCCCGCTTACTTCACGTCACCCAAAGTGCCTGAGCGGGTCCACGGTATGAACCCGGCCCTCCGGCTGCTGCTCATCCTGCGGGACCCTTCGGAGCGCGTGCTGTCGGACTACACGCAGGTGCTGTACAACCACGTGCAGAAGCATAAGCCCTACCCGTCCATCGAGGAGTTCCTGGTGCGCGATGGCCGCCTCAACGTGGACTACAAGGCGCTCAACCGTAGCCTCTACCACGTGCACATGCGCAACTGGCTGCGCTTCTTCCCACTGCACCGCATCCACATCGTGGACGGTGACCGCCTCATCAGGGACCCTTTCCCCGAGATCCAGAAGGTGGAGAGGTTCCTGAAGCTGTCCCCGCAGATCAACGCCTCAAACTTCTACTTTAACAAAACCAAGGGCTTCTACTGCCTGCGGGACAGCGGGCGGGATCGCTGCTTGCATGAGTCCAAAGGCCGGGCACACCCCCAAGTGGACCCCAAACTCCTCCATAAACTGCACGAATATTTCCATGAGCCAAATAAGAAATTCTTCGAGCTCGTGGGCAGAACATTTGACTGGCACTGATTTGCAATAAGCTAGGCTCCGAACCTTTCCAATACTGTAAGTTCCGGTGTACATCTAGGGTGGGGGAAGAAGTTTTAAAAGGCATTTAAGCTATAATTTATTTGTAAGATCCATAAATAACTTCTGTACAGTATTAGATTCACAATTGCCATATATACTAGTTATATTTTTCTACTTGTTAAATTGAGGGCATTTTGTATTGTTTTTCATGGTTGTTAACATTGTGTAATATGTCTCTATATGAAGGAACTAAAAGATTTCACTGCAAAAAGAAATAATAATAAATTCTGGAGACACTGTCTTCTTTTAATATAATTAACTTGCCCTTGACTCAAAATAGCTGTCCATGTTGCACCCATTGGAGAATCTATATTCCTTTGTTACTGAAAAAAAACAAAAACAAGTTTTGATGGATATTACATTCGTCTTTCCTTCTTTCTTTTCTTCGTTGCTCTTTTTAATTTTGATTGTCTTGCTGTGGTCATCAGGTCTGCTTTTTTTTACTTGCACTGTAAGATTTATCTTCACTGAGACCCCTGTTATTTTGGAAGAGGCAGTTTTGCCCATTCCTGACTTCAGCACATACCTGAGTGTGGATTTTAACTCCATGTAAGCTCAAGGTGGACGAAGCAATATTAATAACTAGGAAGAAGCTCCCTATGATATGCCTGTGACTCAGAGGGTACTTGTATATATATACTGGTCTCAGCAAAGGGTGTAACCTACAATAAAGGTGGGCAAAACCTACAATAAAATGATGTAAAGCACTGGCCTTCAGAATGACCTTGGGACTCTGTAAACTGCCCCAGGTGGCAATGGGTCTCTGCAGAGCCACTTAGAATAGAAAAGATGGGTTGCAAAATCTATGTGCCCCCCCCCCGACTTGAAGATTCTGGGAAAAGCTGGTTAAAGGGGAAGCCTTTTGCTTATGCGGTGTCTGTTTAGCTATCTCTTGAACGCTCACAATGCATTTGTAGACATATATGCCAAATGCTTTGAGACATAGATATGTGTATGTTTAGTAATCACCTCTTAACTTGGAGTTCTAAAGGTGGGAGAAATGTAAATGTCAAGGGTTAAAATTGAAAAAGAAAAAGAAAGAAAAGCATAAACCAGAGGGTAGTGCAGAAGGAGCCCTGCCCACCTGCGCCCAGATGTGAGAACCCCATTTCAGTTTGACTTCTGCCCCCAAATAGCTGGTTCCTTGGAGGAGCCTCAGTTTTTTCTGCTGTCTTCCTTCAGTTAGCCTTTTACAGGATTAAATATATTGTGTGCTTTTTCTCATGAAAGCAAAACATATTCATTATGGTAAAATGAAAAATATAATCAGGCAAAATAAAGCCATTTCCTGACATAGTTTATAACTAAGGCAGAGGAGTGAAATGGACATCATTGATCATTTTCTACAAACAGGACCTCATTGAAATGTTGCCCCAAGCCACCTCAGGAAGTGTAGGAATCATAATGGCAGGTTCAAAAAAGGAGGAAACAGGCACGAAGAAGATAAAGACCATGCCCAAGTTCACACTGACTGTAAGTCCGCCAGGCTTGGAGTCCTTGCATAGCCTGCATAGTCCTTCATTTCTCACTACACAATTTCTGAACTCAGACTAAAAGGCCCAGACTGAGGACAGTTCTTCCCTATTTAACCGGCATATCCCTTCCCTCATGCCAAAGGTCTTCCATCTGGGAGGTGTGAGTGAGTCACAGGGAAAGGGCAAGAATGAGCCTGCGTTCTCAGGAGTGCTACCAGAGACGTGAGTCACCTTGGTTCTGTATCAGCATCTGCACCGGGCCTGACCTTTGCATGGCCCATGCCCCGCCCCAGGCCCTGCCTCTTCCTCAGAACCCATTGAGGTTGTCAATGACTCCAGCTCCCCAGAGGGCAGGTCAGAAATCCTTGTAGCAGGACCTCCCTTTGCACTGCAGTCTGCACAGCACTTCCCTCTGCAGCACATCACTCGATCTGGCTTTCCTCACCCCCCATTTAAGAGCTGAAGAAACAAGAGGCCCAGAAAGGTTAAATGGAGTTTCCAAGGCTGCCCAGAAATTTGGCGACCATTGAGACCCTAGTGTGAGTTTTCCGACTCCCAAGAGGATGGCTTTTGCAAAATACCTATCAATGCCTGTATTCTCATAGGGGTGATATGCTTGAGGCATGGAGTGTTGGGGCAGAGGTGGTGGGTAGGAATGGAGGAAAGAAGGACTAAGCACCAGGAGCATGGTGCTGGCACAGCTGATGTTGGGGTGGCCCAGTGTAAAATGGTCAATGGGTATAAATTCAATAATTGGTCTTAACTAAGGATGTTTTCATGGAGGTGGACCATGGGAAAGGGGTTGGAGTCCTACTGGCTATGTCTGCTTGGAAGGTACAAGGTTTCAGAGCCGTGGCTACAGACCAGGCACTTAGATCTCATCTGAACACTGTCCAATTCAGAGGATGCCCTGCACTTGACCTGTGCCTGCCTTCAAAGCGGTCCAAATGCCATGACTCAGGAACCTGGTCCCTTCCCAAACACACCTAATACCAAATCTATTAACAAAGAGAGAGATGCCAACTGGACAGAGTGAGGTTCCTGTCCAAACCGGTCCAGGCCTAGGGCAACCTAGGGGCCTCCAGGTGGGGTCCTTTGGGAGAGGTGGCTGAGAGCAGCTGAATGGAGCCTCAGCTATTATACTTAGAATATTCAGGGCATTTGAAGCTTCTGAGTCAAGACAGCTCCTGCCCTGCCCTCCCTCCAGGATTCAGATAGAGCTGAAATCCTGTTAAGTGGTTATCAGCTCACAGCCTGAACATCTGCTCATTCAGCAAAAAACGATGCTGTGCCTCTGAGTGCAGGGTGCTTGCTCCATCTGTCCCAGGAGAATAAAAGGAGGAGTAGAGAGAAAAGACCAATACCCAGGGTGCCTACTGCTTACAGGGGAATCAGAAATCACGACCAAGAGTTCAGATGTTCATTAAAATTGTATTTTTCCTTGGAGTCCCTACTCTGCACTTAACGTGTTATTAAGCCCTTAAAGAATAAAGGAAAATGCATCAATAGTAACTAATACTTATTAACTGTCTTGCGTTTAAGTTAAACACACACACACACACACACACACACACACACACACACACATGAATCAGGAAAATAGGGAAAATGACATTGTGAACTGGCCAGTACTTTCTCATTTAGTTTAGGAATAACTAGTCCCATTATACCAGTAGAGAGGAGAAAGTGAGGTATAAGAAGTGGACCTCCCTTATTGTTTTCAAAGAAAGACAGGACTGCTACTAATGCCAGAGGAATAGTTAGCCCAGAGATGGGGAATGGTGGCATTGAGGATCATAAGCAGCGGGTGAGAAATGGCAGAGATGTCACTGATAATGTCATTATTTAGGAGTAGTGACAGGTGAACAATCTTCCCAAAGGTTGCCTGGCAGAGCTATGACCCAGACCACTTAGAACTAATGAGCCACAGGGACCCTTCTCTTTCCATGCAGAAGCTTCTTAAAGGATGTGCTAGTGAGTCAGAGGATGGAGGGTGGTGGATGGAATCAGAGCAGAACATTCTGGACAAGGAAAGCTGGAGGAATCAAGACAGGGAAAGGGGAAGGAGCTAGGGGACATGTAGGCAAGAGACATGTCTACTTGGAATGCAAATGGGTTAAACGCAATGAGAACTTACTACCCATCAAACATTTGTGACCTTGACACCTGCTTTCCAAATGGTGGTAGCTTATTTAGCAAGCACCCGTGCATTCTGTCTCCTGTGCAGGTGTGTCTGTCACATAAAAATAACTATCATTTATTGCATACCAGCTATGTGCTTGGTATTTTAAATATGTTGCTTCTAATCCTCATGACAGTTCTAAATAGGAAATGGCATGGTACTAATTTTAGAGGCAGAAACTCAAACTCTGAGATTAAAGGTTTTGCCCATGATGGCGGAGCCACTGATTGTTAGAACTGGAATTTAGTCTCCAGCATCCTTGCCCTGCTGCAATAAAGTCTATGCAGTCGTGGGTAAGAGGAAGAAGAAGTATTGCATGAGTATCTGCCTGTTAGGCAAAGCCTAAAAGGGAAATAATGGACATCCAGGGTGTGGGGGTGCACAGAAAGGTTTATACCAGATCACATCATCTTCAAGCAAAAGACTGGCTGGGACTGGCAATGACTGGTGCCTGACAAAACACGTTCCTTAGTGGAAGAAGTTCATGGAGGAAGCCTGAACTTGATCTAGGGAACAAAGCAACACATCTTTTCAAATAGCCAACAAACAGGACCAAGCTATAGACTCTGTGATTGATTTGCTTTACTGAAGTTTTGATGTAGGGAATGGTCTTGGTTCCTCACTCTCATGCCAAGATCCATTTCCCCCCAAGTCAGGTAACTTTAGAGAAAAGCAGTTAGAGCTAAGAGACCTGGGGGTGAGTCCTGACTCTACTGATTTACTATGGACCTTGTGGCCTTAAGGTTCATATTCTCAGAATCCCAATTTTCTTGTCAATCTTAATGGACTGGTATTTACTTAACTGTGTTTGGGGGAAAACTAAATATGTTCCAGTAGGTAGAAACTATACACTCATTGTATATGTGGCTTAGTGCCTAAGAGTGTTTTGGACTTTGGCAGACAAACCCAAACTGGTTTTAAACCAGAGAACAGGCACCTACTACCTTTGTCTCCCCATCCACTTCCACTATGGGACTGCAGCTATCACTGGGGGTGTCCCATTCAGATTTTATTTACCAGGGAAGTATCCCCACCCCACTACCAGGAGAGTTTGCAGCTAATGGCTTACGCTGCACTGTCTTCTGGGGAATTTCCTTTAGTCAGCAGGAGTTGCCTTACCTGGAGATGCCTAAGAAGTTATGCCCACCATGTTCTCCATTTTCCTTGGGGTTGCCTGTGACTAATGATAGACTGATATGAGATGAAGGTTTGGGCTGTGGGGTAGCAGCCCAGCATCCTAGTCTCTGGGCAGGACAATCTCTATTATACAATCCATCAACCCATGTTCCAGAGCTCCTCATGGATCAGGCTGAGGCCTGAACTCTCCTTTATCCTGTGTCCCTACTCCCTTGCCCATATGTTCTGTAATCCCCTTCCCAGCAAATGACTTGCCCAAGAATATACAAATCTGCACCTCAGGCTTTGCTTCTAGGGCATCTGATCTAAGATAGTCAACTTGAAAAAGTGTCTAAATCTCCCTGAATTTCAGAGATGAGAACTCTGAATTTACTTTATAATACTTTCTACATTGCATTTTTTGTTGTCTAATTACTATCTAACTCCCCACCAGACAGTTTGCTCCCTAGGTAGAAACCAGTGGCTTCACAGTTCTTTACTTGCGGAAGATACCAGTTACTAGTGTTGATTGAAGTCATATTCCTCATTTACCAGTGTTTTTGATGCAGTGGGAAAAATTACT